GGGCCCGGGCCCGGCCGGGGGCCGCTGCGTGCACTGGGGTCCCGGCGAGCGCCAGGCGCTTTTCCTGCAGGCCACACCGCACCGCGACATCAGCCGCCGCGTGGCCGCCTTTCGCTTCGAGCTGCGCGAGGACAGCCGTCCGGAGCTGCCCCCGCAGGCCCACGAGCTCCGTCCGGAGCTGCCCCCGCAGGCCCACGAGCTTGGCGTGGACGGTGAGCAGTGGCCCGGGTGGGTGCTGCGTGGGAGTCATGAAGTCGCACTCTACGCAGGCTTGGCGGGAAGGTGCCTTGTTGTGCGCACTGCACAGAGGGAGACTCTGAGACCTGAGGTCGAGTGGGCTCCTCAGAAGCCACACAGCTAGCAAGGGGCAGTGCCTGGACAGGTGGAAGGGAGGAAGGGATGGAATGGCCCTTCCCTCCCTCTCTCCGCCCGTGATTCATTGCAGGAAAGGAGCTGGCCTGGTGGCAGAACGCAGGGAAGGGGAGGCCAGGCAGGGCAGCCTTGGGCCTCTGGTCCCTGAAGTGTGGGGGAGGGGTGGCAGGGACAGAATCAAAGCCTGCAGCCAAAGCTGTCCAGGGCTTCCCGGCCCAGCAGTGACCTCTCTCCCCTCCCCCCCCCCCGCCCAACCAACAAAAGTCCAGTGTGCTGCCTGGTCACCATGGAGATGCCGCCCGTCTCCCCGCAGGGCACCAGGCCCAGATCTTTGCCTTCCTGGAGCCTGGAGTCTGACCTGCGGGGAATGGGGCTCTCACCGTTCTGCCCCCTAGCCTCAGGCCAGAGACCTCAGAGCCCACCATTATCTCCTGCCTCCCCAGGAGGCAGCTCTGGGAGATCCCAGAGGGTTCCTGGATGCTCGTGTGCAAATGTAAGGTGGGTGTGCAAGAGTGCACAAGGACACTGGAGATCCAGGTGGGTGAGTCTTTGTGCCCGATTCCTGGGCACAGCCCCCCAGGCCTGGGTTTGTGTACATTCATATTGTGCAGGTGTGTGCCTGCAAACATACACCTGAATGCAGGTGTCTTTAGGGGTGTGTACACACATACTAGTGGCTCCCTTGCTCCCTGTGATCCCTAGGTGCCCTCAGGCCCTGAGAGGAGGGTCTGGCCACCTGCCCACTCCCTCCTGCCTCCTGTTGGGAGGAGGTCTGGGATGGTGCCTGGCAGAGGGCAGGGCCTGTGCTCATGACCTCTCCTGCATGCCAGGTGCCTGCAGGCCCTGCAGCGACGCTGAACAACTCCTGGTCGCATGCACCAGTGACTTTGGTAAGTGTCCCTGTCATTGGGGGGGAACCTGGGGCCTGCCTTCCCCCAAGTGCCCACCACTGGCCAACATGTCTCCCCACAGTAATCCGCGGGACCATCCATGGGGTCACCCATGACACAGAGCTGCAGGAGTCTGTCATCACTGTGATGGCCACCCGTGTCCTCCGCCAGACGCTGCCACTGTTCCAGGTGGAGGGCTCTGGGGGCCAGGGGCAGGCCTCCATTCGCACCCCACTGCGCTGTGGTGTCCGCTCTGGTCCAGGGACCTTCCTCTTCATGGGCTGGGGCCGCTTTGGGGAGGCCTGGCTGAGCTGTGCCCCCCGCTTCCAGGAGTTCAGCCGTGCCTATGTGGCTGCCCACGCCGCCCACCTCCACCCCTGCGAGGTGGCACTGGACTGAGGGAACTGGGAGCGACCACCAGCTGGACCTTCCTCTGGGGCAGGGTGCTGGGGAGAGGCTGGTAGGAGAGCGGGTGGGGTGGCCCCCAGATGGCATCATTGGTACCCACTGTTTCTGAGCTGATGAAGATAATCAATGAGATCACTGATTACGTTAGCTACTGTGGACCTGGTCTACTGTGCCCAGTCCAGCCCTGGACCTGCCTCACTTCATTTAATCTTCCCACAGTCTCAGTTCCTGCTTTACAGGGGGAGACTGAGGTTCAGGGGGAATGGGACCTTGTTCAAAGCCATGCAGCTAGTGAGTGGGAGGATCTACACCCGCATCCTGGGGAGGGGCTGCTTCTGGGCTGGGGGTCATGCAGGGACCCCAGCTCACAGGAACCTCGGCTCTGCTGCTCCTGCCTACTGTGTCTTAGCCTGGACCCATGCCCACTGCCTGCAGTTTATTGCTGGCTCCGTTTACCTCCAGTGCCGGGGTGCTTCTGGGGCTCAGAGCACGAGTGGAAAAGGGGCCATAATTCCCAAGGCAGGTGGTGTGCCTTCGATGGGGTGGGGGCAGGCGTAGGGACACCACTGCCAGCTCTGAGCCAGAGCTGTGGAGGAAGGGCTTGCAATCTGGCAGGGTGCCAACTTCCCCTCCGTGGTCCCAGTCATCCTTGGCTCTGTCACTCTCAGGAAAGAATGCATCCCTCTGTCAGGAGGTCCCTTCGACGTGCTGAGCATCCAGACATGGCTAGGGACCCACAGAGTATGGGGTCTCCACTGCGGGGTCCTGCTTGTTGCCCATTTCCGGCGGGTGGGGGGCACAATGGGGCCTCTAAGGACCATTTCCCGCCACTGGCCCATTGTTGCTATCCCCGCCTTCCTCCTTGGCCTTTCAGCCGCATAAAGGGCCAGCGAGGGTTCAGGACAGACAAAGCCCAAGGCCCTGAGGCTGAAATCCCTGGGTAGAGAGGGGTGGGTGCAAGGGCTGCCCAGCCCTGGACAAGCTGATGCCTCTCACATCATGGAAGGCAACCCCTCAGCTCCTGGAAGAGACAGCCCCACGACTTGGGGCTGGGGACCCCAGAACTTAATGCCCATCCTCGTCTGCCTGTCCTCACTGGGAAAGGAGCCAGGGGTGGAGGGTGGAGGCCAGAAGCTTTGCCCAGGCCTAGGCAGAATGAACCCCTCATCTTTCAGGCAAGAAACTGAGGCTTGGAGAGGGACACAGCTGTGCAGAGCTCACAAACAGGGCCTCTGGAATCAGCTAATGTAGGCGCCTAGTGTGTGCCATACCTTGTATGGATACTTGGTAGGTCACCTCCAGTGGTCATCCTGGAACTTCCAGGAGGTGGGCACCCGCATGGAGGACAGGCTCCTTTTACCTAGATCACCTGCTTGTTGTGGGGGCTGGTGAGAGGTATGGGTAGGGGAGCAGACACCCCTGCCTGGCAGGCACTTCTGGTTTCTTCCCACCTTCTGCCCTTCCTCAGGCTCCTTGCTGCTTCCTCTTGTCTCCCCAAACTCCCAACTGTGGAGTGCTCAGGGCTCAGACACTAGATCTCTCCTCCTCTCCATCGACATTCTCTCATCGGAGAGCTGGGCCAGCCTCTAATAACAGTCAGATGAGCCCGCCTTTTCACCTCTAGCCTGGACCGCTCCCTGGACTCCAGACCCTTACATACCTGTCTGCTCCTGTCTTGGGAATACCCACTTTCTGGAAGCAGCCTCTGTCCCTGCTGGGGCTCCTGATCATGTCATGGATGGCTGAGAAGCAGCCAGGCTGGGGCATGTGCAGACATTCATGGGCGTTTCGCCTTAGCCAGGGTGAGGAGGTTGTGGCTAAACTCCCTCATCCAAGGCTCTGTTCCTCCACTTGCCTCTCCCAGCCCTGGGCCTTATGAGGTCACCTCAATCTTTATGTTTTCTGGAGAAGGAGGGTGATCTCCCCGGCTCCTGAGGCCCTGTCTTCCACCCCTTCGGCTTGGCCAGCTGCCAGACGCCCCCGCCCCACTCAACGAGGGAGCCAGCAACTGTCTTCTCAGGCCTGCTACTTTTTTACTCGTCAGCCCCCTCCTGCGCACCCCTCTCCCTCAGACCCCAGCACGTCATCCACTTTTCACCCACCGGGACTAATTCTCTTGGCTGTGGGAGGGAGGTCGAATGGGTGTCCTCCCTGGGACTGCTATGGGTTTGGTTGGCTTCACAGGTGTCCTGGTCAGCAGAGCCCGCACAAGTGTCCCTAACACGGTCATATGGGGGTGCGCCCCTTCCGACCGAGCTCGGGCGCCCGGCAGCCTACGGCCTTAGCAGGACCCCCGCCCGCGGGCTTCCTTGTCTTCCCGTCGCAACGTCCCGTCCCCTGTGTGAGGAGTTGCGCTCCACGAGGGAAGGACGCCCGGACGCGCCCCAGATAGCGGTCCACGGACAGTCGCAGGCTTTGAGCCGGACACGGTGCAGCAGACCCTGTGAAGGTCACCGCCTAGCGGGCCGCCCACGCCCCCCCCCCCCCCC